TGCGTGTCTCCGGGTTCTCATGATGGTTAATTGAAGTCCTTTTCAGTCATCTACTACCTGTTTATCTTCTAACTTGAATAATATGCTAAAAACCCTTGCTATTAAGTTGGTTACAAGTTATATTGACCCACTGCTCCAGGGGATTTCCAAGATTGCAGTCCTTGTGGAAGCAGACTGCCCGCTCTTTCTCTCAGGAAAGAAGCGTCCCCTTCCAGTTAGCCCGTGCTCACTTCACCACTAGGGCTACGTGCATGAGGTCTGTTTCCACGTTTGGTTTTTCTTTCTACTTGAAGTGAAAGGGACCAGTTTCCTTTATGGCGGTTGACTTCCTTTCACCCCTCCACATTACATGCTTCAGTATGTTTTTCCAAAGAACAAATTCACTGACATTACACAGCATGATTTCAAATTCCGAAACTCTACCATATACAAACCATATTAAATTTTGCCAGTTATCTTAAATTCTATGTAGCTGTTTGTTTGTTTGTTTGTGGAAGAAGACTAATTCATATCACCCATTGAATCTCATTTACAGTTATTTTGCTTTGTTTTGAATACTTTGAGTTCCTGGAATGAGTCTGCAACTTTCCCCCACTTTTGTGACATTGATATTTTTAAGGATACATGTAATCTTCTTTTTGGCATCCTGTCTTTCAATTTGTGTACTTTAGATACCATGTATACTCCTGTATAAGCTGAGGTTTTTCAGCACATTTTTTTCTTTTTTTTAAATGTCATTTTACTGGGGGCTCATACAACTCTTATCATAATCCATACGTACATCAATTGTGTCAAGCACATTTGTACATTCATTGCCCTCATCATTCTCAAAACATTTGCTCTCCATTTAAGCCTCTGGCATCAGCTCCTCATTTTTCCCCCTCCCTCCCCGCTCCCCACTCCCTCATGAACCCTTGATAATTTATAAATTATTATTTTGTCATATCTTACACTGTCCGACGTCTCACTTCACCCACTTTTCTGTCATCCGTCCCCCAGGAAGGAGGTCATATGTAGATCCCTGTTATCGGTTCCCCCTTTCCACTCCACCCTCCCATTATCGCCACTCTTAACACTGGTCCTGAAGGGATCATCTGTCCTGGATTCCCTGTATTTCCAGCTCTTATCTGTACCAGTGTACATCCTCTGGTCTAGCCAGATATGTAAGGTAGAATTGGGATCATGATAGTGGGTGGGGAGGAAGCATTTAAGAACTAGAGGAAAGTTGTATGCTTCATCACTGCTACACTGCACCCTGACTGGCTCTTCTTCTCCCCTCGACCCTTCTATAAGGGGATGTCCAGTTGCCTACAGGTGGACTTTGGGTCCCCACTCCGCATTCCCCCTCATTCACAATATGATTTTTTGTTCTTTGATGCCTCATACCTCATACCTTCGACACCTCGTGATCAGAGGCTGGTGTGCTTCTTCCATGTGGGCTTTGTTGCTTCTGAGTTAGATGGCTGCTTGTTTACCTGCAAGTCTTTTAGACCCCAGACGCTATGTCTTTTGATAGTCGGGCATCATCAGCTTTCTTGACCACATTTGCTTATGCACCCATTTTTGTCTTCAGCGATCATATGGGGGAGGTGAGCACACAATAAAATGATTTTTTGTTCTTTGATGCCTGATAACTGATCCCTTAGGCACTTCGTGATCACATAGGTTCAGCACATTTTTAATGCAGTTTTTGTGGTAAAATTCGATGCCTCAGCTGATATTCAGGTTGGCTTATATTCGAGTATATACAGTATTCCCTCATGATTTTATTCAATTTATAATTTTGGTAGGACTGCTACAGAATACTGGGTTGTCTCACTGTTGGCAGTTACCTTTACTCAGTTACTGCTTTTCTGTCTGTTATTCTGAACAGTCTGTGAGGAGATACTTTGAAACTATATATATATATATATATATCCATTTTTTTCATCACCTTTACTCATTGGCTTTAACACCCTTTTTGATGAGCCTTGCCTGCTAAACCAGCTATTACTATGATGATTGCTAGTGTTTTGTTTTGTTTTTTAAACATTTTATTAGGGGCTCATACAACTGTTATCGCAATCCATACACACATCAATTGTGTAAAGCGCATTTGTAC